TCAGGATGATGCTGTCCTCATCAAATGAGTTAGGGAGCATTTCCTCTTCTTCTGTTGTTTGGAATAGTTTCAGAAGGAATGGTACCAGCTCCTCTTCGTACCTCTGGTAGCATTCAGCTCTGGTTCTGGGATTTTTTTGGTTGGTAGGCTACTAATTGCTGCCTCAATTTCAGAACTGGTTATTGGTCTATTCAGGGTTCTGGTTATTGGTCTATTCAGGGTTCGATTTCTTCTTGGTTTAGTGTTGCGAGAGTGTATGTGTCCAGGAATTTATCCATTTCTTCTTGATTTTCTAGTTTATTTGCATAGAAGTTGGTACTCTACACGTTCAGAGAAACTTCTCTAGTAATGAACTATAGAAATGATACTTAAAAGTATAGTCTTATATTTACCGTTTATTAAGTGGAAGTGGATCATCATGAAGGTCTTCATCCTCTTCGTCTTCATGTTCAGTAGGCTGAGGAGGAGGAAGAGGAGGAGCTGGTCTTGATGTCTCTGGGGTGGCAGAGGCAGAAGTGGAGGAGGTAGAAGGGGAGGCGGGAGAGGCGGGCACACTTAGTGTGACTTTACGCCCTTTTGTAAAGTGTAACTTTACAAAAAGTAAACTTTTTACTTTTTTTATTTCTCTAAAAATTTTTTTTATAGGACCAATCCTTCTTCATCCGTTTGCTGTAGTTCAGTGCCTGTATCATAGAAGGGTCCATGTTGTAAAAGAAGGCAAAAGCAGTCTTGAATAATCGGAACCCTTCTGCCAGATTGTGTGATGTCAGTTTGTTTGCTGGTACTGCTTGTTCTACATCTTCTTCGTCATCTGACAGTGGTTTAGAAGCACTTTTCTATATTAAGTTGTCCTCTGTTAATTCCTCTTTTGTGGTGTATTAGCACTTGAATTTCTTCAAGACCCGTATCTTGAAACCCTTCACCCACTGCCTTTTTTTTTTTTTTTTTTTTGGCCATATCCACAGTCTTTTTGGTGATTTTCTTGGCTGTCTCTGTTGTAAATTTTGTGAAGTGATATACAATATCTGGACACAGTTTTCTCCAACAGATATGTATTATTTTGGGCTCCATGGCTTTCATGGCCTTTTCTGTAACAATGATGGTATTGTCAACAGGGTAATACTTCCAGGCTTTTATGTTTTTCTCTCTATCGGGGTTCTCTACCATAGCATTGACAGTGCTTTCCATAGGGTACCGTAATGAGCCTGAAAGGTCCTTAGGACCCCCGATCTAAAGGCAGAATTAGAGATGTGTTTGGGGGCAAGTAGACCACTTTCATGCCTTTGGTGTTGAACTAATGGAGTTCTGAGTGGCCAGAGGCATTGTCTAATGTCAAAAGAACTTTAAAAGCAGTCCCTTACTGGCAAAGTACTTCCTGACTCCAGGGACAAAGCGTCAATGGAACCAATCCGGGAAAAGAGTTCTCATTGTCCAATGAGAAGTCTGTTAGCTTGTGGTACAGCTAACAGACTAGTATTTATATTTTCCTTTTAAGGCTCAGGGTTAGCAGCTTTATAGAGGACAGTTCTGGTCATAACTATGACTGCGTATGCACAAAATGGTAGAGTAAGTCTGTCCTTGCTGCCTTAAATCCTGGTGCTCGCTTCTCTTCCTTACTAGTAAATGTCCTTTGTGGCATTTTTATTTTTTTCAGGATTGGGCAAATTTTGTCTTCATTAAAAACCTGTTCATTTAAGTGCTTAGGAGTTGATTTAAAAATATGCAAATAAATAAAAACAATGAAACCACCCTGTTCAGCCAGATATCCTTTCTCCTCAGGGAATTTATATGGTATCCAAGAACTTATCTGCTGCCTCTTGGTTGACAGAAGCTGCTTTTGCTGTTATCTTGATATTTTTTCGGCCAAACCTGTTTCTAAAATATCAAACCATCCTTTGCTGGCATTAAATTCTCCAGCTTTAGATTCCTTACCTCCTTTTGCTTTAAGTTGTCATGTAATGATTTTGCCTTTTCTTGAATATTATTAGAGTCTATAGGCATGCCTTTTTTTAAAGGAATCCTGTGCCCACTTAAAAGGTGCACTTTCACTGAGACTCAAAGTTATTTCACAAAAAGTATAAAATTTTCATACCTTCTGGCATAGCTTGCAGTGACAACTTCACAATTTTCCTTTTCTTTATTTTAATAGTGGTCCTTATGCTGGATTCATTTATTTTGAAATGGCAGGCAACTGTAGCTGCAGGCCTCAATCTCTGGTACATATCAGACAATTCAACTTTTTCTTGTAATGTCATGACTTGTCTCTGCTTCCTGAGTGCACTTCCAGCATCACTAGCGGCATTTTGTATGTGTCCCATGGTGTTATTCAGGGTTTATAGTATTAAAATAAATGTGTTAAAAATACTTGAGAACCATGAGATATAACTTAATTACTGCAATATTAAATTTACTGGAGAGATGAACTGCACATGCACAGGTGGTTAGCAGCACGTGGCGTTTTCAGTGAATACCTGCAACACTTGAGTTCACTGCAGTAGCAACAGGGGGTGTCCACTTACTGTAGTATGGTATGTACTACAGTGAATTTTATGCAACCATGATATAATATCATATTTTTATGTTTGTTTACATTTCTCTCTACTGAGAATGGCATTGTGTGTAGTCTGTGTTACTTTTCATAAGACATTTGTGTATGTTTTATGGTTGTAAATGATGAAACAGACTAGTAGCCACAAATATTTTATGCTCATCACATACCTCACTTTTCTTTTTTGTTTTTTCAGTATTTCTGGGCTATGCAGTTTGAGTTTTTTCAAATTATTGCAAATCTCCAAAAAATTTTCCAGTGTATTTATTGAAAAGTTGCGTGTAAGTGTACCCATGTAGTTCAAGCCTGTATTGTTCAAGAGTCAACTGTATAAGAAAACGGCACTCATTGTATTACATACGGAAATATACCTGTGTGTGTATAATCCATGTGTGTGGGTGTGTGTCTGTGTAAAAAAGCTGCCCTGATATGTTTTTTAAAACTAACTTAACATTTTATGAATGTACTTTTTGTGCTATAAAATGTACTTCGAAATATAATTTTAAATGATTGTATAATATGCTCTCATGATATATTATAGCTTATTTGATTTTTTCCCTATTATTTGGCATTTATGGTATTTTCCCATTCTAATAAATAACACTGTAATGTCCTCAGATTCATCTATTTCCTTGTTTTTTCAATTCCAAAATATTTAACTTGAGAGAATTGGCCGAGGCTTGCTGGAATTTCAATATGGCAAACCAACGAGAGGGGATGTTACTTCGGAATAGAGGAGTCTCAGTTTTAGTCCTCTAAGCGGGCATGGTAAGATAGGTCTCAAGCTAGGCTGGTGTTGCTTTTAAAACCGGAATTGATAGCAGTAGACACATGCTGAGAAGAGTGTTTGTCTTGGAGGCAGAAAGGGCACTGTCCCAGAGGAAATGAAAGCCTTACCAAGAGCTAGATGGCAGGACTAGATCCCAGCTGGGAGCCAAATATAATGAAGAAACTTCATTTTTTTTTAGGTACATTTAAAAAGATAAATTATGTTTGTATCTATCTGGGCAGGGCTTTGGGTTAGAGGATAAGGAACCCAAGGCAGAGTTTGTTGGGGAAGGCTGCACCTTTATGGGCAGTTGGGTACCTGGCCCATCACCAGGATTTATGCAGCCAGACTGTTTCGTGGTCTTGTGGATAAAGAAGGAGCTCTTTACTAGGCTGTCTGAATTTGCTCAGAAACTGTGTGAAGCTGAGCAACAGGGTGAAGGTCCTTAATCCATGGCTGAGAGGGAGTGAGGAAGGCTTTGATTAAAATGGAAAGCTTACATTCATTGAATTTCTCACCTCTGGGGCAACGAGAGCTAGAGGGGTGGAAGATAAAAATACTAGATATAACCTCTTCCTTAAACCTGTGGCCTAGTTACAAAGACAACCACATTATGAAACCATTACTAACCATATGTGATACTGTTTATATATAGACCAGAGATGTCATAATTAGTGTCTGATGTGCCTAAGGGTTGGAGGACAGTTTTAGTGGTTCATGAGTTCAATGACAATGTTTAAATTGTATTTTCACTTTACTGATAATCTAAGAAAAAAATTTTTAACAGGTAGAATTATAAGTCTTCCCATTTGCAGTAATAGTTTGTAATTAAAAGACATTTTCATAGGCTAAAACTTTAGTTTTTTAAGTTAACATTGTTCAAACCAGGGATCAAAACATATTTTCTTAAAAATTTTAATCGTGGAACATAGAATCCTGATCTATTCCCTGAAAGTGTGAGTAGGTCCTGATAGGATGAGCTTAGTGCATTTGGGGTACTAGAAAATTTGAAGGGTATAACAGTTTCAGGTTTTTAAATATACCATCCTGATCACGTGTCAGTAATTGGTGGAATACCCTTTTCTTTGTTATTACCTGCCTCTGATGACTAAAGGAGCTTTAAGTCTTTTTGTTGAGAAGGTAACTCCCAGAGTCCTCGTTTAAAGAACCATCTTCTAACTCTCACGTTATTGATCAGTGTCTAACGTAAACTTTTCTTTTTCTGCCCAAACGTGAATTTTGTTTCCTCAGGACTTTATTTCTGAGCAGTTAATGATTCTAGCAGAGACATCTATAGTAAAGTCCATTGCATTATGCCTTTGGGCATTAGCTAGTCACTAGGCAAGCAGATGTTCCTTGAAGGGCCAGAACATTAAGGAGAAATTGTCTTTTTTATGTCCCAGCCTAATCCTGCGCCTTTACTTGGTTAGGGATTTGTTTCACTCAAATGTCATTGCTGTCCTTTTAAGTTATTTTTCTTTTGTACATAAGATATCTCAGATCAGTGATCTTTATTCTCCTCTAATTTGCTGTATGGTTTTAACAGGTTTATTAGTAAAACTGAGTTTGTGTTTATTTGCATTAGGTCAGACCGCAAGATTATTTGTTCAGATGTAGGCCTAACAAGCGATTGTTCTTTTAAAATCTTTTTTAACGCAAAATTTTCTCTTTATTTCTTTACAGATTCCAGCAAGATTATGGAAGAGCATAGCTACATACAAAAGGAGCTAGAGTTAGAAAATGGTAGCTTAGAGGAAGACTCCGTGGTGCATTCTGTTGAGAACGATTTCCAAAACATGATGGAGAGCCTCAGCCCAAAGAAATACTCTTCCAGTCTGAGATTTAAAGCCAATGGAGACTATTCTGGCTCCTATTTAACCCTCTCACAACCTGTGCCTGCAAAGAGAAGCCCTTCTCCTTTGGGAACCAGTGTGAAAAGCAGCCCCTCCTTAGCCAAAATCCAGGGAAGCAAGCAGTTCTCTTATGATGGAACTGACAAAAATATTGCTATGAAACCTCCAACTCCTTTACTCAGCACTACATCCTCCCTCAGTGGATATCCACTTGGAAGAGCAGACTTTGATCATTATACTGGCCGGGACAGTGAAAGGGCCTTGAGGCTCTCAGAGAAGCCTCCGTATTCCAAGTATAGCTCAAGGAATAAATCGCATGACAATGTCTACTTTCTCGGAGGGCTGGAAGGTCAGAAGGCATCTGGCTCGCTCCTGGCCATGTGGAATGGAAGTTCCCTGAGTGATGCTGGCCCCCCTCCTATCAGCAGATCGGGAGCTGCAAGCATGCCTTCAAGCCCAAAGCAAGCCAGGAAAATGAGCATTCAGGACAGCCTGACGCTTCAACCCAAGTTAACTAGACACAAGGAGCTTGCATCTGAAAACATCAATTTGAGAACTAGAAAGTACTCCAGCAGCAGCCTGAGTCACATGGGAGCCTACAGCCGATCACTTCCCAGGTTGTACAAAGCCACAGAGAACCAGCTGACACCTCTCAGCTTGCCTCCAAGAAACTCTCTGGGCAATTCCAAACGAACAAAACTTGGGGAAAAGGATCTACCTCATAGCATAATAGACAATGACAATTACCTTAATTTTTCTTCTTTGAGCTCAGGGGCTTTACCCTATAAAACCTCTGCTTCTGAAGGCAATCCTTATGTAAGTTCTACCCTCAGTGTCCCTGCCAGTCCTCGAGTGGCTCGGAAGATGCTTCTGGCCTCCACCTCCTCCTGCGCCTCTGATGACTTTGATCGGGCTTCATACGTGGGGACAAACCCGAGTCATTCACTTCTTGCTGGAGAGTCAGACAGAGTGTTTGCGACCAGGAGGAACTTCTCTTGTGGATCTGTGGAATTTGATGAGGCTGATTTGGAAAGCCTCAGACAGACCTCAGGAACCCCCCAGCCTGTCCTTCGGGAACGGAAAAGCAGCATTAGCTCCATTTCAGGACGTGATGACCTGATGGATTATCACCGGCGGCAGAGGGAGGAAAGACTGAGGGAGCAGGAGATGGAGCGATTGGTAATCATCTAACAGTGATTGACCTCACTGTTTCATTAACCAGCATCTACAGGGCAGCCTTGGAGATGGACTCCAGGATATGTGGGAATATAGGATATTCATGTTCACCAGCCACAGCTGCTATCTTTCTCTTCTCTCCTGCTATATGCTGCTTCTTCCCATATCACTATTAATAGGCATGTTTGGCTATCTTGAAGGCCTCCAGGAATTAATGTTAATTTAGTTGCTCTGCGGACTTCTCACAAGTATAAATTCTTTAAAAACATAACAGAGGAGTTGCGAATTTTATGAAATTTCTGAGTCTTAACAAACTTCTCTTTAAGACTATGAGGAAATGCTGACTTGTATTATTTATATCATTAAATTTGCATGTGTATGGTTATGAGAGAAGTAGTCAGTGAAATCATGACTCACCAAGAATTAGGTAGTGAATTTGTCTTTATAGCAAGTTGTCTAGAAAGTTGGAGTTGCCTCAGTGGTGCTCAGCTTTTCTCCACACTGTTCATACACAACCTTACTATCTTTAGCTCTGATTCTTAGCACGTACAGTGACTCCAAACTACACATACAAGATCTATTGAGTTGTCTTTTTCCATTTAAAATGAATTTATACTTATTGGAAATAAGAAGACAAGAGGAAACATCCCTTGAGAGTCTCACCAATGAATGAGAACAGACAACTGCTTTTTCCCATTCTCTTTTAAGCACAGGTTTTTCTCTTTTAGAATGAACACCTGTCAGAGATTACTTTCATTCATTTTTGATTCATGATTTCCTTAACGGGAGAAGTTGCAGGATAGTGAAGCTGATTTACAACACCACTATAGGATTATCAGAAGTATTTTAGTTGCTAAAATATTCTAGAATATGATTTTTGAATCACAAAACTGGTTAATATCCTATAGGACAATAAAATTGTAACCCAGCCTTGTCCAACCTGTGGCCTGTGGGCCGCACATGGCCCACAATGGCTTTGAATGTCATCCCATACAAACTCAAACTTTCTTAAAACATGATGTTTTTTTTTTTTTTTTTTTTTTTTTTTTCTAAGTTCATCAGCTATCGTTAGTGTATTTTATGCGTGGCCCAAGACAGTTCTTCTTCTCCAGTGTGTACCAGGATTGGACACACCTGTTGTAACCTTTGGATTATAATGGACGGAAACCATTTGCATCCATCCAGTAGGAAGTATGTTTGACATTTTAGAGCAGTAATCATTTGCATCACTTACAGTTTTTGATAAGTTGATGTCTGTTCTTACAGAGTTTTCAAATATCCTAACTGACAATGGTGAATGAAAACAAATGTGCATAACCTTAGAGAATTTAGATAGTCTTTAGGTGGGTCAGTTATACAGTACTCAGTATGACATTCCTCTTTATTATCATAAATAATCTCTGCAGACTGTTCTTGGTCACAAAATGGCATTGTGTTTGGGCTTGCTTCACTGACAAATTCAGAAGATGTTTTAATTAACATACAAAAGTCTTGTTTATGGACAGCAAATATAATGCTATACCTTGCAAAGCAACTGTTATTTGTAAAGCCAGAATATTAACTTCTATCCGATAACTTAACAAGGAATCTGGGAGAGCATTTTTAATGGCTTCCATTACTCTGGACGTCTTCCTTAAATGCTTCTATTTGCTCTTCTATTCCAAGGATAAGCAACCAAACTCAAGAAATTCATCTCTGCTAGCTTTCATGTTCAGCATCTCTAAGTGTTGGTGAATTTCTCTTTCCTCCAGATTTTCCAAATCTGGTATGATTCTTGGCAATCCAGGAAGTGACCTTCTGTACTGCCTGTAAGGTTGGGCCCGTTAAGTCATAAACAGTTTTGACTTCTTGGGAGAGCTTTGTGGATATTGCTGTAAATATGAAGTTATATATATTTTTTCTTTAATAGTGGACTTATCGTATCTGTTGAAATGAGGTTTATTTTTAAATTTGACACTCTAGGCTTGATCTTGGTTGCATAGTCTATTTGTTTGACTACATTGTGGTAAAAGGGATGACAGATTCTTATCAAGCCTATGCAAATTATGATATTGCCATTAAAAAGTAAAGTGACTCAGATTACTTCCTGAATTCTCAGAGATCAGTGAGAACAATTTACCATTAAAATAATATTTCATTTAGTTTGCAAAATCAGAGTTAGCTGAATAGAGGATTAGAGATAGAGCAGTATGAATGCCAAAGCGTTTTCCCCCTGAAAAAATAGAACATTAAAAATAATACTAGTAATATTCCAAAACACATATCCACGTTTAGAAATTCAATTTTTATTATCAACTCAATCACTTCTATGTAATTAATTCTTATTCCTCTGTTTCTTGGGCTCTTAATTTGGTTTCATGAAGTCATCTATTTCTGGACTAAAAAGTCCTGAAAATCTGATTTGGGTGCCTAGTACTGTCTAATTTTCTCTATGCAATTCTTTGAAATATTAAAGAGTTAAGAATACCTGGTAAAGTTCTGTCCACAAGGTTCTAAAACTGTCTTTTCTTCATTAACGAGATATTATATTTTGTAGGCAAGCTTACGGGGAAAGTAGAGAATACTTGGTGAATGTAAGAGTTAAGTGGCTATGGTTAATTTATGGTTAATTTAACAAACAATAACAGCATGAAGGAGAGTTAAAACCCTTTAAATCAATTTTTTAGAACATATTACAGAGAGTGAGGGCACTGACATATATTCAGGGCCTTTCTGTAAAGTACCCAATCTTTGAACATTACCTATAATATTCAAAATAATATTTTACCTGTATAAAATTATCTTAAGGGCAGGCAACTTCCTCATTTGATTTGAGAAATTTTTAGGGGCACAGTGAACAAACCTGATTATTTCTAGCCTCTTTCCTTTTGTAAAATTAAAAAGCAATTCTTTGTGATTGCCGAGAGGTTCTCTGGGAAAACGTAAAAGTGGTTCAGGAATAGATATCTTGGAAATTTTTTTTTTTTCTGTATTTAGGGTCTGCCTGATCTTGAAGGCAAAATGAGAGGTTTTGTCACTTGAGTCATAAAGAATTGTGTATACCTGAGAGTAGTGAATGTTTGTGGTTTGGCTGTTTAATCAAATGGCAATGGATTATTTTATGATGAGCAAGAAGCCTCAAATCATTCAAAAATGAAGAAAACTCTTTTTGTTTTTTTAAATATGCAAGAATACGTTCCAATCAGCGCAAAGCTCAGGAAAACTCTTGTAAGATACTAATCTCTGTTCTTTGGGCAGATTATGTAGAATAACCTTTTACTGCCTTTTACAAGCATAGACTGATTTCTCCAAGTTCAGTCTGTCATTTCAATAGCAATAACTGCATTTTAGTTTTACATTAACAGGGTGCTTGTCATATATTACATTTTTAGTGCATTACATTAAACATACTTTATGAATAATTGCATCAAAATCATGCAAACTTTGCCAAATTCTTAAAATTTTGTTACTTCTTTATAGCCTTTTTATTTGCAAGCATTATAAACCAGTTAAATCTAACTCCCCTTTTGCAGAGCTGCAATTTTCTGTTTCCATCAACTTCTGCTCTTCATTGTGCTCTTCCACATTCTGGAACAACCAGACACACATCAAAAATACTTAAAGGTATTAGAAATTATGTTCAAGCTAACACATCACAGGACATAATTACGGAAAATGTGAAAAGGTTGGTCACAGTTATAATTCAGTTTAGGTGAGCACAAAGTTTATATTTTTCTTAATATTATGGAAGTAATCTTAGCTTATGTTTTTGGCAGACTAATAAAAGGCAGTTTAAAAGTTCAGGTAAACTAATCTCTTCATCATAAAACATTCAAGTTTTTTTTAAAAAATGAGATTATACTTGTATTATACTATACATTGATGAAACAAGGAAAAGATGTATAGCTGTTTTGTTGTTGTTGTTTTTAAAATGTATTTTCTTTCTTAAAAGTTATATTTGCCCATGACACAGCCCCAGGAGATTCTGAGAACATGTGTCCCTAAAGGTGTTTTTAAAACCAAATTATCAAATCAGGTCTTTTTTTTTTTTTTTTAAGAGAGCACAGTTAGACTGGGTGAGGTGGCTTATACTTGTAATCCCAGTACTTTGGGAGGCCAAGGTGGGAGGATCACTTGAGCCCAGGAATTTGAGACCAGCCCAGGCAACATGGCAAAACCCTGTCTCTACAAAAAATACAAAAATTAGCTGGGTGTGGTGGTGCACACCTGTAGTCCCAGCTACTTGGGAGGCTGAGGTGGGAGTATTGATTAAGCTCAGGAGATTGAGGCTGCAGTGAGCCATGTTCATGCCACTGAACTCCAGCCCGGGTGGCAGAGTGAGACCCCATTATTTAAAAAAGCCATTTAAAGCATTAGAATTTAACAAAATTTACTTCAAGAAAATAAATTCTTGAAATTCTGGGAATTTTAGATTTCTCCAACTACTTGTTAGTCTCTGTAAACCAATCAGAACAGTAGGCCTCCTCTATTTAATTTATTATTATCCTTGGGAGATAGAAAAATACTTCACCTACACAGAGTATTTCCCCCTCCCCCCGCCTCCAGGTAGAGAGACAGATGAAAGGTTTATGGCATAAGTCCTACAGCTCCAATTACAGATCAAAAGTGAACACTGGAACACAAAATCTCACTGGAACACAGATCTCAAAAGACTGCTTTTCCATCAGGCACTAAATATATTCCTGATCTGAGTACACAAATAGAAAAACAAACAAATTATAAACAACAACAACAAACAAATAATCTGTCATCTCTCACCTGACCAAGGCTGGATTCCAGTTCTACCTGACAACTCTCCACGTGGTCAGATCATGAAACCAGATTCCTAGTCATGGTTGCCACCAGTGGAAATAGCTATCAGTTGTATGCAAACCAGAATCCCAGGCCAAGGATTAGAAACAAAAACTGTAGCACAGATTCAGTAAAACAAAAACTGCAGAGAATAGTGAGTCAGTGAAGCTGATGTTCTACTGCCATTTGTGATTTACCTCAGAAGCCAAGAA